ACAGGCGTGAGCCACTGCACCCGGCCCCATAAATGGTATTTTTTAATTAAATGCATTAGCAGTTATTTACGTATCTACGCAAATTTGTAGCTTTATTGTAAAATATATACATGGAATTAGGCCAGAATCACGTTGTGAACTGTAGGGTGTTCCTTGGAGAATCCAGAGCTCTGTTACCTCCCACTTCTCTGCTGTCTCTTTCATGTCAGCCTATGCCGCAAACTCACCAGCATTCATATTTTTGCAAGTTACCTTTCTAGCTGAACTCTCCCAGGTCACAGGACCCCTAAGCATCCCAGCATCTTTTTCACAGCAACCCTAAGCCAAAAGAAATGCCTAATGGTTCTGTTTATTTAGTAATTAGATCCAAAAAAATCTTGGTAAGTATGTATGTTCTAACAACCAATTAACCATTTGAAAAAAAAAAAAATACATGTAAGTTGAAAGAAAAAAATTTCCTTTCATTCCACAGTCGCCACAGCTCCTCGCTGATGGGATGTGCACCTGCTGGCTGACACGCAGCTTCTCTCTGTGTCGGATCAGCTGCTGCCACACTGATTTCCCATTTCACACTGATTTTCCGGTCTGCTTGACTTTTACCACAGAAGCCACTTAAAAAAAACCAGCTTTTCAAAGATAGGAAGTTATCGGAAGGAATACAGGGTAACCTAATGGTAAAAGTACATTGTGTTTAGTTCATGCAAAGGTTGAGCATCACTAGGCTCTCTCAGAGACTTAAAATATGCCTCAGGGCCCTGGTGAGCTCACGGTAGCACTCCAGGGGCCTCAGAACACGGCTTGGGAGCCAGAGGGTTAATAGGTCCCTAGGGACCACAGGGAAAAAAATCTAAAAGCTTTATATGTGTACAGACAGTCACTGGGAGGGTACACTATACACACAAAGAGGCACCCACAGAAAATGTGACTCTGGAGTCAGTAACCAAGAGGCTAGGATACGGGGAAGAGAGGGGAAAAAAACTTAATTTTCACCAAACAGCCCTTTATAACTTCTCAATTTTAAGCTTTACCCATGAGGTACATATTGGAAAAAATTTTAATTCTAAATATTTTTAACGTATAGAATTTAAATGATTTTTCAATTGCCAATAATTGTGGTTGCTGGTTTAAAAAAAATGGAAGCAAAAGCTAGAGCTGAGGTCATTTGACTTGAATGAACATCAAAGTAATGTGGAGGAAGAGTGATTTGCCACTGAGAGGCAAGGTGGTACTCAGGACACGGGGCAGCCATTGGCACCAGCCAGTGGCCTCAGCTTCCCTTATAAAATCAATTGCAGGTTGCAACCAAATAATTCAATGGCTTCAATGTCACTGTTGAGCCAACGGAAAAGGAATTATTTATTCACAGTCATCAAATGAATGGGAAGAAAAACCTCCATCCAAGACAAAGCATTGGCCACCTACAGCTGTTCCATGAAGCAGAAGAAGAAGCATCACAACTTCATTTCAGTACCAGTGAAACAGCACCTCCTAGTCATAACATAACAGAGAAACTGCAAGACAGCTCTGAGTTATCCTCCTCTCCAGGAGAACCCACCCCAGCATCCCTTTGAGGGGAGTCTGTGGCAGAGGCTACCAGCTGCCTCGTGACACCCGCTGTCCCCTGCTTCCTAATCAGAGACTCCAAACTTTACTCAGCGAAGGCAGCTGGTGGGCTTTCCAGCCTCCTGTGCAGTGAGGTATGGCCACATGACCAAGATCTGGCAGAGAGGCGTAAACTGACTGGGGCTCTGTGAGAAGGCCGACAAAAGCAAGGTGACTCTGCTGGGAGATTAGACGACTTTCTCCTTCCCCTTTCCTCTTTCATGCTTTCCAGAATCAGGATGCAATGGCTGGCATTCCAGTACCCATTTTGGACCGTGAGGTGACCATGAGTTGGGAAATCACAGGCCAGGATGGAGGGGAAGCCGGAATGTGGGAAGAGGCTAGGTCCCTGGAGAACATGAGGCCACCATGTCACCCCACACACTGTTTCCCAGCATCCTCCACATGACAGCAAAATAAGCATCTATCTTGTTTAAAGTTACCATAATCAGTTGGGCACAGTGGCTCACACCTGTAATCCCAGCACTCTGGGAGGCCAAGGCAGGCAGTCCAGGAGTTCGAGACCAGCCTGGCAACATGGCAGAACCCTGTCTCCACCGAAAAACACAGAAATTAGCTGGGCGTGGTGGTGCATGCCTGTGGTCTCGGCTACTCGAGAGGCTGAGGTGGGATGATGGCGCTAACCCAGAAGGCGGCTGAGTTTGCAGTGAGCCATGATTGTGCCACCGCATTCCAGCCTGAACGACCTATTGAGACGCTGTCTCAAAAATAAATAAATAAAGCTACCAGTGTTTTAAGTTTTCTGTTACACAAACCAGATGTAATCCTAATACACAGCCCATCACTGAAAGTGATGTACAGGTCACATCAACTCAGAGGGCTGGGACCAACGTGACAAGACAAAAGTGCCTGTCCAGGAGACGAGCTGAGTGGCTTTAAATCAGAGCTTGCAAAAAAATGAAGAGTTCCTGGCCAGGCCCAGCAGCTTGCACATGTAATCCCAGCACTTCGGGAGACCTCAAGGTCTTTAGGGAAGAAGACACAAAAGCTAAAGGCCAAGGCCAGCTAACTTCTTCATTCAACCAAAGAAAATAATAAAAATTAACAACGGTAAGTCAAAATGTTCAGTTATGTCTGCTTTCAAGAAGATCCTGCTGATGTCACTTAATTCAAACGAAATCACATGATCTATATTAGTAAAAAGAGCTGGATGACTCATAACCAAAGCATCAGAAGGTATTCAGTAGTTTCAGCTTTGGGTTTCAGGCTAGCCTGGTTTGGGTTTGGTTGGTTAAATTGGGTTGTGGACCAAAGGCAGGTTGAGAAGTAAGGAAGACTGGCCAGGGCAGAAAAGCCAACTGCAGAGAAGCCTCACACAGAAAAGCATGAGCTGGGAAGCAGGGGAGACGGTAAGCCTGGATCCCGCACAGAGCGACCGAGAACCAAGCCGGGAAAGAAGCTCACCTCCACAACAGTCTTCAATGGCTTCACTTTTCAAATAATTAATGTGTCTTTTCATCACAATAACATGTTTGTTATACAAAAAGCTTAAATATAGATAAGCAAAAAGACGAAAATCAGAATCACTTCCATTCTATGACCGGGAAAGACCTACTATCAACAGTTGGAATATTCTTCTCGATTCTTCCAATTCCCAGGTATGTATGTACATGTATGAATGTGTATGTAGAAGCGTGTGCACACACAGATATACATGCGTGCACACATACGCATACGTCTGTTCTCTATACACATGTGTATACATGTATGGCATTGTTTTACAAAAATGAAATCATACTAAGGACACTATTTTGCAAGTCCTCCCAAACAATAATCGGAGGCATTCAGGCACATAAACTTGTTTGGCCAAATATTATCAAACCACTTTTTTGCTTGAGAAAAGCATATCAGAAGCTTAATATAAACTATGGCCATAATTATATGATATAGAAATCAGTAGTCATTTGCATAGACAAATCTGGCTCTTCTGAATAACGGAAATTTTCACATCCACCATTAACCAAACACTAGAGCTGTAATTATTGCAGGCAAGGTCCACTGGTGCTAAAATTAGTGAGTAAAACTTTGAGGGGAAACAAGATATTTGGCACAGTCTCAAAGTATCATGCTTGAAACATTTCTTAATCACACTATAACTTTACAGTGAAGAAACCCAGCAGACGCTACCTTAACGCTGCTCAAGTTCAACGTCACCAGTGTGACAGCTTGCCCATGTCACACACCCGACACCATGCACTGCAAAGGGTAGCCTACGGCTGCAGGGTTCTTTCCAAAATGCTTAGCTTCATGAGAAAACATCAGATAACAGCAAACTGAGGTCTATTCTACAAAATACCTGGCCAGCACTCTTCAAAAGTGTCAGATCACTAGAGACAAAGAAAAACTGCAGAACAATGAGAGTCTGGAAAGGATTACACAAACACGACAGCTACAGACGACGTGGAACCCTGGACGGGACCCCACAACAAAGAAAGGACAAAAATCAGGAAATCTGAATGAAGACTGCCGTTTGACTAATTTTAAAAAGAAAAAGGAAAAAAACGCCTTTTCTTTTCCTGAGAGACAGGGTCCCGCTCTGTCGCCCAGGCTGGAGTGCAGTGGCACAATCATAGCTCACCGCGGCCTTCACTTCCTGGGCTCAAGCAATCCTCCTGCCTCAGCCTCCCAAGTCACTGAGACTACAGACATACTACCACACCCAGCTAATTTTTTCATTTCTGGTTAGGGACAGGGCCTTTTTATGTTACCCAGGCTGATCTCAAACTCCTGGGTTCAAGCAATCCTCCTGCCTCAGCCTCCCAAAGTGCTGGACGTACGGGCGTGAGCCACTGCGAGGGGCAGCTATTTAAAGTCAGCAAATTTGGCCAGGCGCAGTGGTTCACACCTGAAATCACAGCCAAGGCAGGTGGATCACCTGAGCTCAGGAGTTTGAGACCAGCTTGGGCAACATGGTGAAACTCCGTCTTTACAAAAAACACAAACAATTAGCCAGTTGTGGTGGTGTGTGGCTGTGGTCTCGGCGACTCAGGAGGATGAGGTGGGAGAATGGTGTGCGCTTGAAAGGTGAAGGCTGCAGTGAGCCAAGATGGCACCGCTGCCCTCCAGCCTGGGCAGGAAAGCCAGACCTTGTCTCAAAAACTAAAAATATGCAGTAAACAGACCAGAAGCAGAGCTTTCATTACTCTCTAGTCACTGTAAGTATAACTGCTTCAAAGCGGTAAACCCAACTAAGAGGGCTAAAAGCACACTTCACTGGTAGCTAAATGCAAAGTGGAGGCAGGCTTTTAAATCGGTGCCTCTTATCCTTAAATTGCACCGCAATAAACAATCTATTACTCCAAATCAAAGATGCACATGAATCTGCACACATACACACACAAACATAAAATCTGAGCATGCTACGGATAACTATTTACCTAAAAAAATCTTGGAATTCCTCCTTTTTGGTAAAGCTCCACCAGACGCCCCTCTTACCTTCTGAAAAGGAAACAAAAGATCATTAAAATGCAGCCTATAAAATACACATATTTGTGGGGGAAAAGCACATCTCAGAGGTTCCTAGTTTTTACAGAAGGCCAAGAAGAAATATCCCCTCTAGATAAGCAATTCCAGGATAAACAGGAACTGACCCAGGTCAATGCAGGTAGGTGAAGGGCAATGCTATCCTTCTGCTGATTTTTATCAAGTGATAAAGAAAGCACTTCTGGAAAGAGAAATGGAAACCGAGGATCAAGGTGAAATCGATGCTTAAACTTCAAATCAGCACCTGCTCCCAGGCGGGCAGGGGTCCAGACCTGATAATGAAAGACTCAAGAAAGATGACGGGGCTCCAGGAGGGGCGGGTCTTATTCTCCTGCTTACCCCGTGGGTCTCCAGTGCTTGGCACTGGGCATGCTGAACAACTGTTGTCAAATGGCTTAATAAATATCGATAGTCATTAACAGTCTGGTCATATGAAATCTCAATCTAACCTCCCTAAACATTTCTGGAGCACCCACAAGTGGCTATGAGCACCTTCCTAAGGAGGGTGTATTTTCTACGTGTGGTAGAAGTCATCAGTAGTAATGAAATAAAATGCCCATCAAGTGGTAATACAAAAGAGGCCATTCATCTGATGCTCGCACAAAACATTTTCCTCTCAAATCAATTATGATACCAAACCCTATTCCAAGCAGCCACTGGTGCCGAG